CATGAAGCATGTTGGTGACTGAAACCATCTAACAGTGAATTCTGGGGAAATGAAGACGATATGACGGCTCAGTTTATCCCCACTGAACATATTTATCTTTGGAACGATCCAAACGTTTCACTTGGAACAAGTAAGAATGAGATTAAGCAGAAAAAAAGCGGAGCAGAGCCTGGATGCTGTGGTTTCCTAACGCACAGGCGAGCTTCTCTTTGGGCAACAAAGTGGCCGATGACCTCACTCCTCTTTATTTCCTGTAGGTCACTGTGGTCTATGAAATCTCTCCACACCAGCATTAGCAAACCACGGATATGAATATTAGGTTTTCCTCTTTTTTGCGGTGGAGTGTGAAAGAGGTCACAGCAGGTGTGACTGATCAGTGTTTACTGGCTTTGAATGAGTCACTCTTTGTTTTAGTGAAACAGACTCATCTGTGAGCAAAATGAACACAAGACAGAGTCTGAGCTCCACTCAGTGTCATAAAGATTAAGGGAACGGACAAATGAACGCGTTTTAGACCACTCGAGTTTTTCTTCTGTTTCTGATTAGACTATTTGGGGATTTTATTATTTCTTTTAGAAAACTTTTTTAGAAAACTGAAAAAGTGCCTGAGATTATGTTTTTAAACCTTTTCCCCCCGAAATCTCCCAAATATTCAGTTTATTAACAAATAAAAAAATGAAAAAATGCTGAAAACCAAAAAACGAGGCGTCCTGTTCTCGACTATATCAGCTTTGTATGAGTCACGCTTTACGCTTCCTGAAACTCAAGTTTCACTTTTTAAAGAGAAGTTTTGAACACAAATGGATGCTTGTTCTTTATGACCATTTAAAGCTCTGACATTAGAAAAAACTAATGTTTAGTGATGCGAGCGAGTGCAGTCTGAGGTTCATGCACCATCAGGACAGGAAATATATGGTAAAAATTATCCTTTGATCAAACCAGTTTTGCTGGTTGGTGAGAAGCATCAGATTTATGTCTCGTATTGCTCATCTTCTGGTCAGGAGACTGTATGTCATGTGACCTTTGGTCCACCGAGTCACTGATCATATTGTTTGTCTGATATTTGTCTGATAGAGTCTCTGTGCTGGTGGTCACGCCATGAA